TCACCCATACAAGGGCGTCCGCGAGGCGATGGGCCAAACGATTGCAACCATTTATCGCACACGGTATCATGAATCATACGCCGACGTTAAGACCCTCCTTGCGGCGCAGGAGGCTGCGTCATCAGTGGGCACATACCCATATCAGCCTACCGAAGAATTCACCAAGATGATACATGATATCTTCAGTGACATTGAGAAGTGGCGGCACGAGAGGACCCCAGGTCAGCAGACGCCTTCATCTTATACTTCAGGATGCAAAACAGTACTTCTCTGGTTGGACTCCACTCTTTCGTCGTATGAGTGCACGCAGTTGGTTCCCTTCTTCCCAGACGTGTTCACGGGACAACTGCTACACATGATGGATGTAAAGGAAGATCCAGAGCTCCAGTCATTGGCCTATCATGTCTTCCGGCATCTGCCCAACATCCCATACCCCGCTGAGCAGAACTCTGGGTTCATCCAGTCCCTCATTCACATAGGACAGACGTCACCCTCATGGCACCAGCGTCTACGAGTTATGATCAACATTCAGATCATTTACTTCCGCCGTCTATTCCTGCTTTCCGTCGCTGATCGAGACAAGCTTTTTGAGTGCGTGGCAAACATGTTAGAAGACCCTCAGCACGAAGTGAGGGCTGGAGCATCAGCTACCTTGTCTGGCATGATTCGCTGCTCACCCGTATTTTTGCGCGAAGAGATGGTTAGCCGGTTCAAACAGCGATTTTCGAAAATATTGATCGACAACCCTCTCCCAAAACGCCCCAAAATCCTTCGGTCCGGCTTGTCAACCCCAGTTTCATCTGGGGCTGGCACTCCAACACCTGAGCATGCTCGACTCATAATCACGAGACACGGTGCAGTTTTAGGTCTCGGTGCGCTAATCCAAGCATTCCCGTACAATAGTCCGCCGCCCACGTGGATGCCTGAAGCCCTGGCTACATTGAGCGTTCGGGCTGCAAACGACCCTGGCGTCGTGGGTTCGAGTGTCAAATCTATAATCAGCGAGTTCAAAAAGACAAGACAAGATACTTGGCATATTGATGCAAAGGTGGACAACCCTCCATCGTTGAGAGAGAAAATGATCGTTTATAAGCTAACATTTTTGTGTAGGCGTTCACTCCAGACCAGCTCGAAGACCTCTCTGGTGTGCTTTGGAAGAGTTACTTCGCTTAGATTAAGAGGGGCAATACAGGCATGTATCCATGACTCGTACAATTCATACGCCACTTTTGGCAAGCTACAACGTATTGGTCGTTCGGTATGTGGCAGTATGAGAATTGGGAATTATTAGAGCATTCGGTATGAATAATGGTGGATTTGGTGGAGGGATAATTCTTCTTAGGTTGTTGTTTGATGTGAAAGTTTTGGGTGGTATTCTTGAATTGAAGGCACATATACCACGGTACACAGCGATATTCACTTCAAAAGCATTTTATGGCATCTATCGCTACTTAGTAGCCAATCGTTCATCCATAGATTTGGGATAGACAGTGGATTAGATAAGCATCGTCCTCCGTAATCACGTGCCACAACAGCCACGCGGCTCTTCCGCAATCAAGGTCGCCGTCACCTTGCCAAGGGGTCCCAGTGGTTCAGGCGCTTCTCCCCAACTGCCTCGACGCCCATCTCTAGCATCTTTATTATTATTTTACCATTTTCGTGCGTACACAACTGTGGTACTGTTGTGCAATCTTTATACCTGTGGTGAAAGGAACCTGCTACAGGCAGCCTCTTCACCATGGCTCCGAAGGATACCTTCTTCCGTTCGTCGGATATGAGCTTGACCCAGCTCTATATCGCCAATGAAATCGGACGAGAAGTTGTCAGTGCCTTGGGAGAACTCGGTCAGGTTCAGTTTAGAGATGTGAGTCGATAATCGAAAACCGGAACAAGCAGCGCGACAGTAACCTGGGCTAACCTTGATTGGCTTGCAAATAGCTTAACCCCGACACTAATGCTTTTCAACGTACCTTCACCAAAGAGATCCGTCGCCTGGATAATGTGGAACGGCAGCTGCGTATGGCTACCCATATGGAATAATGTGTTCTTAAGGCCGAAAAGCAACTGACGTTATGTTGTCCTCTACAGGATATTTCCATTCTCAGATGGACAAGGCAGGGATCCCAATGCGGTCTTCATCCGAATTCACCGATACATTAGCTGCGCCCTTGGCTTCAGAGATTGATGAGCTTGCCGAACGGAGCGAGAGCTTGGAACAGAGGATTGCCTCACTCAACGATAGCTATGAGACACTCAAGAAGCGTGAGGTGGAGCTCACGGAATGGCGTTGGGTTTTGAGGGAAGCCGGTGGATTCTTCGATCGCGCCCACACTCATACAGAAGAAATACGGCAATCATTTGACAACGATGAAGCTCCTCTCCTTCGTGATGTCGAACAGCAATCCCACCGGGGTCAGAACGGCGAGGCCCAGGGTCAACAATCCTTCCTCGAGATGAACATCGGGTTTGTCGCGGGTGTCATTCCACGTGACCGTATTGGTGCCTTTGAACGTATTCTTTGGCGAACTCTGCGTGGTAACTTGTACATGAATCAGTCGGAGATTCCCGAGGCTATCATTGACCCGACGACCAACGAAGAGTCTCACAAGAATGTGTTTGTTATTTTCGCCCACGGAAAAAACATCATCGCGAAAATCAGGAAAATATCTGAATCTCTTGGTGCTTCACTGTACGGTGTTGACGAGAACAGTGAGCTGAGACGCGATCAGATTCATGAAGTAAATACACGCTTGGGTGATGTGGATAATGTCTTGCGCAACACTAAGAATACGCTCGATGCGGAACTTACACAGATTGCCCGCTCGCTTGCGGCCTGGATGATCATCGTCAGGAAGGAAAAGGCTGTCTATGATACACTCAACAGATTCTCCTACGATCAAGCGAGAAAAACACTAATTGCGGAGGCCTGGTGTCCAACAAACTCGCTGCCGTTGATCAAGTCGACGTTGCAGGATGTGAACGACCGTGCTGGTTTAAGTGTGCCTACTATTGTTAATCAGATCCGGACTAACAAGACACCCCCTACCTATATGCGGACGAACAAGTTCACGGAGGCCTTCCAGACCATTGTCAATGCGTATGGTATCCCGAAGTACTCGGAAGCCAACCCTGGATTGTACACGATCGTCACCTTCCCATTCCTGTTTGCCGTCATGTTTGGCGATTTCGGTCACGGTGCTCTCATGACTATGTGTGCTGCTGCAATGATTTTCTGGGAGAGAAAGCTTCAGAAGACCAAGTTAGATGAACTGACATATATGGCATTCTATGGCCGTTATATTATGCTGATGATGGGTCTTTTCTCCATGTACACTGGTCTTATTTACAATGATATCTTCTCCAAGTCGTTCACGGTTTTCTCGAGTCAATGGAAGTGGCCTGAGATCATCCATCCAGGCCAGGCAGTCGAGGCTTCCCTGAAGGGCGACTATCGTTTTCCCTTTGGACTTGACTGGAATTGGCATGAGGCTGAAAACTCTCTCCTGTTTACGAACAGTTTGAAGATGAAAATGAGTATCCTGCTCGGCTGGTCTCACGTAAGTTCTTTCATTCAAGGGGTTGTTGTTCACTGCAGAAACTAACCAATTTACAGATGACCTATGCTCTTTGCCTGCAGTATGTCAACGCTCGCCACTTCAAGTCTAAGGTTGATATCATCGGCAATTTCCTCCCAGGAATGATTTTCTTCCAATCTATTTTTGGGTACCTTGTCCTTACTGTCATCTATAAGTGGTCGGTTGATTGGCCAGCCAGGGGTCAGTCACCCCCAGGTTTGCTGAACATGCTCATTTTCATGTTCCTCTCTCCTGGTAACGTTGAGGAGGAACTCTACCCAGGCCAAGGCTCTGTTCAAGTTATCCTATTGCTTCTGGCCGTCGCGCAAGTACCCGTTATGCTGCTCTTCAAGCCGCTCTACCTCCGCTGGGAGCATAACCGTGCTCGTGCTCAAGGATACAGAGGTCTTGGAGAACAGTCAAGAGTTAGCGCGCTTGAAGATGATGGTGATATGGATGGCGGACTTAATGGGGGCCGTGACAGCATGGCCAGCGAGGGTGAGGGGGTAGCTATGATTGCCCAAGACCTTGGAGAGGAGGAGCACGAAGAATTCGACTTCTCTGAGATTATGATTCATCAGGTCATTCATACCATTGAATTCTGTCTGAACTGTATTTCTCACACTGCGTCTTACCTGCGTCTGTGGGCTCTTTCTCTGGCCCATCAGCAGCTTTCGATCGTTTTGTGGACTATGACTCTTGGCGGTGCCTTCGAGCAGGAGTCCCCCACCCTTCGTGTGATTATGATTGTCGTCTCCTTCTATTTGTGGTTCACTCTGACAATCGCCATTCTCTGTGTCATGGAGGGAACTAGCGCCATGCTCCATTCGCTTCGTCTGCACTGGGTCGAGGCTATGAGCAAGCATTTCATGGGCGAGGGTATACCATTTGCTCCGTTCAGCTTCAAGGCGCTCCTCGAGGAGGATCCCGTTGATTGATTTGAGCGTCCTGATCCATTCTTTTCCTTCCTTTCATTTTGGATTATATGTACTCTAGTTCCCTGTGGGAATCAATTAAACTCTAGACATCAATTGACTTGTCCATATCTAACCTCGCCTTTGTTTCTTTGCTTCTAAACCGTCGGTGCATTCATATACTTGAAGACTGTCACAATTCTACTCAATTTGAGTTTGCATGTAATGTTGGACTCTGATGTAAATAGTGTCAGCATATTCTTGCTTGATTGAACATTGGCGGTCGGTTTTCTTGTACTATAACATATATAAAATATATCCAACGAGTGCAGTGCTAATCAACTGGGAATGATTTAGAGCCAGGGACATTGAACCCCATTGTGACAACATGGAATTTGGGCTAGATATATTTATCCGCCCTATTTAGAAGTACCCAGCGTTCGCAAATAGAACACGAGGTGATTAGATCAGGGAAATCAACCCGAGTAGAGAAGCGATGTTTATATAGATTTTTCAAATGTTTATTTCAGTATTTATTTAACTTAGGACGCTTTTCATACATTAAATACCCATGACCATCCTCATTAATACCATCCCGTGGTGAAATCACCAGATCTCCCACGAGTATAAGCCGGCCACATACGGGCCAAAAAATTCAAATCATTTCTTGTACTTGTTATAAGTGTCGATGATCTTCTGCACTTCGTCCTTCGAGCCGAGGAACACACCACTCTTGTCGTGGATGTGCTCAGGGACGACGCCTAGAAGGCGCTCCATGCGAGAGTTCACGGCGAGACCACCGGCGTTCTCAAACACCATAGCCATGGGCGCGCACTCGTACAGAATACGCAGCTTACCCTTGGGGGCCTTTTTGTCGGCCGGATAAGCGAAGACACCACCGTAGAGCAGTGTCCGGTAAGCATCAGCCACCATACTACCAATGTAACGAGCACTGTAAGGCTTCTCTCCCTCGGGGGGAAACTTCAGTGAGTGGAAGTAAGCGTTAGTCCACTCGTCCCAGTAGCTGCTGTTACCCTCGTTGACGGAGTAGATGGCGCGCTTGGTGGGGAGGGTCATGTTGGGGTGGGTGAGGATGAATTCGCCCAGAGAGTTCTCCAGGGTGAAGCCGTTGACGCTACCATTGCGCATGGTGATGACGAGCTGGGCGGAGGCACCGTACATGGTGAAGCCGGAGGCGACCAACTCGGTACCGGGGAGGAGAAGGTCCTTGGGGGAGACCTTGTTCTCGGGTCCCAGAACGGAGTCGGGCAGCTTGAAGACGCCGAAGATAGTTCCTACCGAGACGCCAGCGTCCAGGTTGGAGGATCCGTCAATGGGGTCGCAGACGACTGCATAGCGGGCGTAGGGGTGCTCGTCGAAGACGATGGCTTCTTCTTCTTCTTCCGAGACGAGGATACGACATTTACCTGAGCCACGCATGGCGGAGATGAAGACATCGTTGCCGATTACGTCGAGTTTCTTCTGGTCATCGCCTGTGGTGTTTGAGGAACCTGCCAGTCCGGTCAGGTTGATTAAGGATGCACGACGGATGTAGTAGGCGATGGACTTGAAGGAGAATTGAAGAGCGTGGCAGAGGAGTCTGGAGGGGTGGTTATGAACGGTTAGTTTCTCTTTCCTTCAGTGCTGATGCTACAGGGGCTATGGGCATGACCGTACGTGAAGTCACCAGTGGCTTCTGGCACCTTGGTTTGTTCTTCCGTCAAGAATCTTGTGAGGGTGACGATATCTGTGTTGATATTCTCCTGTCCCACGGGGGGCGCACCGTTGTTCTCGTGTCCGGACATGATGATGATGTTGATTTGGGATTCTTTAGCACCGAGGGGGATATGCGCAGATTGTTCAGGAGGGGAGATCAAGTGGTTCTGGGGTGCAATGGACCGGTTTAAAGTAATGCGCAACCTCGGTTCAACGGAGAAAGCAGGAAGACTAGGGCACCAATGGACGTGAGGTGATAATGGCCGGGTTGAGAGGAGTAGGATTCAAGTACGTAAGTCAGAGATTAGGTCGATCAATAGAGTATACCAAACTGGGAGTCTGGAAGAGCAGACAGAGGAAGTATAAATAGTATAAACCGTATAAATAGAATCATTGAAGGATCTTAATGATCACCGTCCACAGGGTCATAGGAGCAATAATATTTTGCCGGTGGAGACCAAGAGTGAGTAAGGAGAACGTCAGTCCAGATCATGGACAATACGGGATCGTTCCATTGACGCAATCATCTTCTCCCCGCAGTCCCCGCCGCTCTCTTCTCTCCCGGCTTTTCCCTGTTTTTACTCTTGTCCGCCTCCGATTCCCCCCGCAGTACAAGAACCGGTCCGTAGGGAAACTCGAATGGGTTCGAGATCGACTATCCATGCTTCTGGATATGATATCAATGGTCTCCATACTGGTCGGCAAGTGGGAAGGTAACGCATTCCCATGGATGTACCGATGCCAGGTCCGATCTCTTATCAGCAACACAATGGGATTGAAACCATATTACATACAGTAAAGTAGGATTGCCCAAAGAAATGCCGCATGAAACAGATAGCCCCTGGTCTGCGTGGTCGTTCTCGCGCAAATTAAACCCATAGCCGGAAGTGGATATCTCCTGGTCAGCAGACGCGACAATTTTTGATCGCCCACGTCAAACTATTCTTGAACTATTCGAGTCTCGGCCGTTCTGTGAAGCAATCCGCTGCCTCTTGTTCGGGTTTCTTTCCTCCGTCGATCGCACCCTTTTTTCGGTCAGCTGACTGGGTGGCGCTTATCTAAGCCATTACCTACTCACATCCCGTGACTCGTTCCCGTCTAACCGGATTAGGCCTCGGTAAAATTAGCTCCGGTGGGAGCGCAGCTTGAAAAAGTTCGACACGCTTGTTCTTTTTCTTTTCGAAACTTCACCTTCCCACACAACAGCAACAACAACAATCCTGGCTGATGGTTGTTCACCTGAAATGGTTGGGCTGCAACATCCATCAGACTTGGTATAACCAAACAAATATAATTGCTCAATGATTTCATATGCTCACACTGGGCGTGGACTAATCACTTAGCGACTTGCATCGCAAGATACTCTCTTTGGTAAGTCCACTTTGTCTGGCTTGTTCTATTTGATCTTCTTCCACATCTTCCATCATGATGTAACCTACAACCATTTACAAACTAGAGTCTTTGACCTACTTGGCATGAAAACTCGGTTTTTGCACGTCAGTCTGATCTGCTTGCAAAGAAAGCTTTCTGCTCACTTGCATTTCAATATGGAAGCACATTGCTGACTTTGTGTGTCCCACAGGACTAACAATTCTGTAACATGCGACAAACAGAGGAGCCGATCCTCACTTGCACTAATGGTACGTCCTGGCTTTGTTTTTCTTTTTTCTATCACACTGTCTAGCATGATGCTTCACAACAACATATACGCTGGAAATTACCGACTGAGACCTTTCGGTCGTTGGCGATAAATCTTATGGCACATTTCTGATCTGCTACCTTATTTAATTCGTTTGATCTCTCATTCTCACTTGTGTGATTGTGTACTGACGGTCAAAAGAGTTTTTAGTAGGTGGCCAGTAATGCACACTTGAGTGCCATGGTTCCAAGTGCCTTATTCTAGATGGTAAGACTCTCGACCACTCTATCTCTTTGCACCTTTTCGAAGATGAAACGGCACTGGGCTCCGACGGCGTCAGACAGACGACCGGTCTTGATGGATATGCCCTTTTTGCGGCAGGCCTAGAAAACCTCGCCCACTGAGATCACACGATTACCCAATTATGTTGATCCAACAAGACTTGAGCCTGGGGCTAATGGTCATGGATAGTGTCACATAAGCTATGTATAATATATCAAAACTGCTAGCTAAAAGGTAAATATCAACTTGTCTCATAACTCCCAAGCCTCACATGATGATCTCCTTAGATGACGAGTCTTATTCGAGTTATCGATGCTGACACCATCTTTTTTTTTACCATTCATGCATTTCTGACATACACCTTTGGCATAAAATTTAATGGAGTCCCCGTGAACGTTGCTGACTCTCGTGCCATCTACAGACAAGACCTTCTCTAGCTTACCAGACCTCTGGTCTCGTGGCTCGCAGGAGGCCAGTTACTTGTATGTAGGCACCTTGCCCTGACTCCAGTTGTTTTCGACATCATGATGAATCGACATTAAAACAAATGACAAGCATATGTCCAAGTCAGCATTGCTGGCCAGGACGACAACTGTCACGACTGATTAGTCAACAATTTGTCTTCGTCTGTCATAGCCATGAAGCAATCGAAGCTGATTGTATGCGCAGATTTTATAGATCGCATACAAGAACACCTCGCCTTGGCCAACCAATGTTGGCCGGGCATGGATCAATTAATGTAAGTTGAATCTGCTTTTCCTCGCGTCACCCTGCCTTGATACCTGTACAATGATGATTTTCTTTTATTTTAATCACGACGGTCAACATAATCAAATACATTGATGACCACCGCCTGTGACAGGGCATTTAATCTGAAATACTCTCCATCAGCTTGATTTGCCAGATTTCAGCAATTGCTTGTTCCAGCGCTGACTTTGGCTTTAGTGGCTAGTATGTATAGCAAGAAAAGGTGATTTCGCCATTCAAGCTTTCTTGGTTCATTGGATTGACCCAAGGACCCAAGTGATAAGATAGTGCCTTTCGCTGGTTGGGCACATCCATACGTCCGTGACAAGGTTTACAATATGCACTAGCTGAAGTTTAGCAATACTCAAAATGAACAAGATCTGTTTTTTCAATACTGGACTGTTGTCTTACCGTGTAGGCGCTCATGAGCCAAGTTAAAAAGTACCATGGCCCCCAATTACGTGCAGATATAAACCCTTTTATTTTGCGTATCCTTTTTTTCCCCTGGAGTCGGTTCTGGCCCTGGCACGCAAATTGATCGTCTAGGGTGTTTCAAACGACTGCAAGCCTGGTTCTAAATACAGGATCAATCTAATAAGATGTGATGAGGGCTCTGGTTTGCCAGGGCGGTCTGGCAAAGCCGGGGTACTCGACCAGTGAGCGGCCGCAGATCCCGTGCCCTAAGCGCCAACAAGACGCCGGCTGTGATGAACTTGCCAGGCTGCAGCTCACTAACCACATCCATGCCCTTCTCGTGTCTGAAGAGTCTTGTCTCTTCCAGATTCCATCCGGGTGGCCCCAGACACCCAAGTCTTGGGTGTGTTATTTTTATCTCAGGTGGATCCCTCGCGTTATCCCCGTCAAAACGGCCGATGTGTCTTGGGGGGTGCAGGCTGGTTGGCCTACGGAACATGTTGCAAAGAATGGAAATTCGCCTTTCTCTCTGCCCTTCTCGTTGACCTGTCACGTCTGGTAGGCTCGGGCCTTCCTTTTGCTCCTCTTCCTAATCTTATTGCTGCGCACGGTTTTTAGCCATGGCTTCATCTCCGGTTGGCTCTTAATCTCTTCGGCAGTATGAATAGGTGCGCGGGCCCCTCATGCCCACAAGACTGTCCCTCTTCCCTTGAAATGATCTGCTTTCAGCGTCTCACATTACTGATTGCGATTTCCAAGTAGCTGGTGGCCTCCAAATACCGTTGGCGACGAGCCGCCATCCTGGCCAACACCTCATGCCAGTACCAGCAATCAGCCATCTCCCAGCCGTCGAGAACATGCTCTGCAACCGCCACCTTTGACAACGACTCTGAATGGTCCTCAGTTTCATGGACTAGGTGTCGCGCTTGGTGGAAATTACTCGTCGACCCCTCTGTCAACGACCTCCTTATCAAGCCCGTTTACGCAAGGCCAGTCTCCTGCAACTAATACTCCGGGAGGCGTAGGAGTCGGGTCATCATCGATGGCTGCCAGACAGTATAATGTCCCTTACAATCCCCAGGATTGGGGACCTGTAGGCGGTTCGGGGCAATCCACTTATCCGCAAACAAATAGCATGACTCGAATCATTTCCCAGTCGCGGCAAGCTGGATCTCATACAGGTCTGTTGGGCCCATTTTTTATCTTCCATTTTTCAATTTCATTTCTGCTTTGCTTCTGAATAATTTTATGTCACCACGGATACCTGGGTCTTTGCCTAAACCTCAAAAGGTCTTTTATCAAGGCACGCTTAACATGATGTATATAGATGCTTCTCTTTCGCCTCCGCCGCCGCCATACTCGCCACCAAGCCAGCCCCAGCAACAGCATCATGCGCGAGATAATGTCAGCCATAATACATCAGGCAGAGGCTCAGCATCTCCAGGGGCGGTATCTTCGTATAATGGAGTACTACATGGCAATACTGATGCCCCCGCGGAATATGGACAGCGTCCCATTCCTCGCACCCGTCCGTTATCTATGGTTCATGTGGGCGACACAGGGCAGAATAGACATGTATCACTTCCACCACCTCCACCGTTATCACAAGGGGTGTCATCTTCCAGATCATCGTCTCGACATAGAGCTGATGTGTATCAAGAACCAAATTCACTGAACGCAGGATCAAGGCCCTATATTATGGTTTCTCAACAGGACAATTTACATCCATCTCAGTCAAGTAATTATAATTATATGGCGGCCACTACCCAACAGGATGATGTCACGCGGCCCCCAACCTCCAGGCGAGCCGTTTCTGCGGGCCCCGTTGTGAATAGCGCCGGTACGTCCCGGGCTGCAAGCCAGTCTCGGAGTAGCTCACCCCAAGGACGAGGGTGGGAGCCTGGCATGCCTCTTCCACCACCACCTCCAGGCCCTCCTCCTACTACGAGATCACAGAGTGTCAGTGGCCTGTCCGATACAACGTCTTTGCGACACTCGCAGGTTCAGCCAAGGAATAGCAGAACTCGACCACCTCCAGTGCTGGGAACTGGCTTGGACAGTATTCCCCCGACTCCAGCTGGCTGGGTGGACGAAGGGCCCGCAGTGGCCCGGCAAAGAGACCAAACGCCCCTGGTTATTGACACGGCGAACATCACGGGGTCCCGTGTTGGAGCAGATGGATCTAGAACTCATGCGCACCCAAACTCCACAAGCAATGGCCTGTTTCGCAGTCCGGCTCTTCGAGACCCGAACACTAAAGGAATTCGGGAGAGGCGAATCGAGCGCAGGAACAGACAGAGTCAAGTTTTTGATGACTTCAGTGCAGTATCGACCAACAGTAACCCGTGGGCCGATGCCCTGGACCAAGTAAAGCCATCGAATCTAGTCCTTGAAGACACGAATGCTGTTTCTGATAGTACAAGGAACCAAACATCTACAAGAGCCACCCCCAAGAGTAGTCATAGCTTGGGATCTGATGGGCAACATGTTACCTCACGGCCTAGAGCCTCGTCGACTGGATTGTTTTCGAATCGATCTTCTTTTTCGACTCCAAGAGGCGAGCCCAGCCCCGTTGGACCAGCCCGAGGATTTGCACATACTCCACCGTTCTCCCCGGGTGGCGAGAAATCATTAGGATACCCCAAGACGGCCTCGCAGGCCTTGCCCCCAAGGGCCCTTCCGACTCCCCCATTGCAACATGGGCAAGACACACGGCCACCCTCTCGACCTAGTTCGAGAGAGGACCGACCGGTTTCTCATTTATTACACTTGCCTAATGATACTCTGGCTACTGTCTCAGCATTAGCCCCACGCCGAGTACCGTCACAGAAAGGCCCCTCTTTGGATTCTGTCGTCAACCAGGACATGGAATTTGTTCAGAGAGCCGTACAAAGACACAAGGCCTTTATAGACAAGGAGGCAGACGCTACAGATGAAGCGGATGCTCTGAGAATATTCACGGAGTTTATTATATCTGAATCCCAGATCAGGCGTGAGAGATATGCTAAACTATGGGACTCCGGTTCATTGGATATCGAAACCGTGCGCCATAGGCTATTTGAAAAACCTCCAAAGCCACAGGCTTCGCCTGCTCCGCTCTCTAGGCGGCCATCAAGGGGTGCTCCGAGGCTCGATATACCCCAATCACGTCCCGAATCTGCTTGGTGGAACAACTATCAACCTTGCTTGTCCCCGATAGCGAGCCTTAGTATGAGCAATGATGGAATGAGCTCCCGAGGACGTGCACCGAGTCGTTGGTGGGAATCAAAATCAAGCAGCGAGGGAGGCGAACGAAGAATTGAACGTTCAAAGCGTGAATCTAAATATATGGGATTGCCTCGCGAATCTCTTCAGTGGCCCCAAGGACGAGATCCTGCAGAAGGCAGAGATATGAGTTATGCATCCGAATCGACAGACCAGTATGCAGCTTACGGCCCGGATGAATACCCGCCCGAGAAGGTGGGCTGGCACGAAGAGCCAGCCTCGTCGGATTATTCAAGTACGGTTGGGCACAATAACTACGGATATACCAAGGAAACTCACAAAATGGATGTGTCGAGGCTGATTACTCTGCCACCGCCTTACCCTCGGCACCATCCGGCCGTCAACAATAGCCACCCAGATCTGGTCAACTATCGTACTCTAGTTCGATCAATTAGCGATCTTTCTGTTGTCAAATCCACCAGAGAACGGCATCAATCGGATATGAAGAGCCTGAAGCAAAACCACCAGGAGAGGATGCAGGATAGCCGTCGATGCTTTAAGGCCAATATCCAGAGCCAGATCGAACAGGGTAGCATTAGTTTTGCAGAAGCCGCGGAGGCGGAGGCTGCGCTGATTATGGAAGAGAATAAGCTTGCGAGGGAGTTGGCAAAACAAGAGCTGGATGGCTACCAAGAATCAGTGCTAAAGCCGATGCATGCAATTCTCACTGAACGAATCAACAAGGCCACTGCTTCCATTGATGAATTACAGAGCAAGTTGTTCGATGACGCTCAGAATGAGACCCCCGACCAGACCCAAGAAGAAGGCGATGAAAAGCCTGAACTGTTAGAGAAACTCACGCAGCTCAAATGGCTATTTGAAGCTCGAGAGCAGTTACATCGCGAAACATACGACCTAGTCAGCAACCGAGATGAAAAGTACAAGACCGTGGTCATACTGCCTTATCAGCAGAACGCGAACGAGGAGAAAGTGCGGGAAACGAACAGCTTCTTTGCCAAAGATGCCTTGAACCGCCGCGTTAACCACGAGGCAAGCGCATTGGCTCGGCTTGAATCCTTTTTGAATGTGGTTGAAGAGAACGTGGTTCGAGGGGTCGAGATACAGCTGTCCGCCTTCTGGGATATCGCACCGTCTCTCCTCACTCTGGTCCAGCAGGTTCCAGTGAGTCTAGCTGGGTTTCAGCTCCAGATCCCTACAAATGAGTATGAGGAAAATCCAAGTTACCAGAATCATCCGTTGCAATATCTCTACACTCTTCTTTCGCATGCGGAAAAATCTAGCTACCAATATATCGAATCGCAGACCAACCTCTTTTGCCTCTTACACGAGGTTAAGTCGGCTGTCATGAGAGCAAATTGCAAGCTTGTGGTAGCTGAACGGGTCCGATTGGGAGAGGACGAAGACCATGTACGGCGGGAAATGCAAGAGTCCCGCGCGGATGAGGAGCGGTCTTTGACACATGATCTAAAAGATAAAGTCACTACAGTGGAAGGGCAATGGACGGAGGCCCTGGGAAGCGCCATACAAGGCTTACGAGAGCGTGTGAAGGAACAGCTTATGGATGAAGCTGGATGGGAGGAGCTGGAACAATTGCAGGAGTGATGAGCGTTGGATGAATTGTGTGTGATGACCATATTACCCCGACGAGCCTTGGCTCCAGTCTTTGATTTGATTTGCTTTATGTTGTTCTGTTGAAGATACCCAAATTATTCGTTCGCTACTGTGTTGATCAAGTACATACACATTTTACTACAGGTCCTTGCTATCCGTGATGTATGAAACTTACTATGCAACTTCTTAGGGTTGCTTACCAATTTGTGCATTCCGCCCACTCTCACGACTAGCGCTCACGTGACCATGGTTACCTTCTAGAGCTTTCCTTCCGAATCCTTTTTTTCTCTTTCGCCTTCAACTTCGGTTGAGGGGATACACTGTATTATTTAAGTAAACTCTGGTTCCCCCCAACTCCACCGCGGTACTTCCCTTCCTCTTGTTCCTTTCTCTACCGCATTGGACCAGGTTGATCTACTTTTTACAGCGTCTTAGATTCGAGACGTCTTGCCGTAAAACTGTGAGTACCCCAAACTTTTGCTTTTCTTCATCCCCTCCCCACGGATGCAGACTTTTTTTTTTTTCCAACCCACAAAACCTCATCCAACTGCCCCGCCGTTGGATATGGTCTGCCCCTCGATGATGAGATTATATAGCTGGCACCAGTCAGAGAAAAGATGGATTTCGATTCATCTTTTGTGTTGATTAGCTCCGGTCCGGGAACGCTACCTGTGATCACTGAGAAATATCCTATGCACCTCGTCTTGTATGCATCAATTGATTCTTCAGACTAGATGTACTGACTTGGATTTTGCAGAACCTAGCATTGGAACAGGCTTAGAGGAAAGGCCTCCCATCCATCCATTCAGGGTTGGGTGTCTTTTGTCAACACTGCAATAGAGAAGATTTTCTTTTTTCTTTTTTTTAATCTTTACATCAAGACCCACTAGCAGTTCATAATAAATTTATTTAAAATACCAACATCATGGTTCTGCACAACCCCAACAACTGGCACTGGGTGAATAAGGATGCCTCCGGATGGGCCAAGGATTACCTGAAGGAGAAGCTCTGCGCGCTTTCCGCCGAAGAAAATGGTGTCACCGCCAAGATCTCCAACCTCCTGTCTATGGATGGCGACGTAGACGTCAGCCAGAGAAAAGGCAAGGTCATCACCTTGTTCGATGTCAAAGTACAGCTAGAGTATGAAGGTTCGTGAACGTATTGTGTGCTTCCCTTGTCCGGGGCACAACTAAATTTCCTGGACAGGTAAGACCAAGGACGAGGAGTCCGTTAGCGGTACTATCACCATCCCCGAGGTTGCCCACGACACAGAGGAAGACGAGTATGTTGTATGTTCCCTTTCTCCCTCTCAGAGACGGCCAACTGGGGATGGTAGTGCTGACACTTCCTGTCTGGTGTAGTTTGAGATTGACATCTACTCTGAATCCTCTTCTAAGCAGCCGGTGAAAGACCTCGTGCGGTCGAAACTTCTGCCCCAGCTCAGACAGGAGTTGGCTAAACTTGCACCCGCCCTGATCGGCGAGCACGGCAAGGATATCCAGCATGCCCCCGGTGAAAACCCATCTAAGGGTTTCACCGCCCCAGCCTATCACCCGCAGACTAAGAAGGACACTCCTGCCCCCAAGACGACCACTACTACTACCGGCAGCAAGGTTGCTGTCAACACTACTACCGTGATTGCCTCGGATGAGTTCCGTACCACCGCCGAGGAATTGTACAACACCTTTACAGACCCCCAGCGCATTGCCGCTTTCACCCGCGGAGCGCCTCGTCAGTTCGAGGGTGCCCAGGTTGGCGGAAAGTTCGCCATCTTTGATGGCAATGTCACCGGAGAATATACTAAGCTGGAGAAACCGACTCAGATCGTGCAGAAGTGGCGATTGGCCCAGTGGCCCGAAGGTCACTTCAGCTCCCTTGAGATCAACTTTGACCAGAACGATGTCGACGGCGTCACCCAAATGCGTGTGTCTTGGACTGGAGTCCCAGTTGGCCAGGAGGATGTCACCAAACAGAACTGGGAAATGTACTATGTTCGCAGTATCAAGCAGACTTTCGGGTATGTTCCCCCTCGGTACAGTGTTTCGTAGCCAAATCTTCCTTACCATGGCTCCCAGTTCTCGTTTCCAATATTGGAGGCAATTGCTGATCTCGTTCTTCGTACTTCTTTTTGCTATAGGTTTGGCACTATCCTCTGATCTCGTACGCCCGTCTTTGGAAGTTTGACGATTCGAACGCCGATGGTGTGTACAGATGACCTGACTCTGTCTGCGATCAACGCGCCCTGTAAGGGCTGGCGTATCTATGTTTTGGGTCGACTGAATTGCGTTCTTGGAAAGCAGACACTCTGTACCTCACATCTGTGCCTTTTGTGATACACCTTCCCCTCTTGCATCTGAGGGTATGGTTCGACGATTCCACGATAGAAATCCATGATTAGATCAATGTAAAACGAATCAATAACGAAACCCCACGGTTGTATACACCCTATCTCTGTCTGTATGGCTTTTGATAATCACACTTATTTACGATGAATCAAGTTTCCCTTGACCCTGTTAATTGTTTCTCTAACCCTTTATAAACATTTTAGATCGTTAAACAGTTCAATCGTATACACCCTAACAAGAGCGAGTTTACAAAGTCTTTTCAATCATCTCAATGCCGTACTCCTCCTTGAGAGTCTTAATTAGGGGAGCACAGATGTCCCAGGTCATGGGAGCAATGACACCCTAAGAACAAATCGTTAGTCGAGCCTTCATCTCATATGGTTTCAGAGCTAGGATAGAAATAAAGAACGTACTCTCTTGTTGATAGTGCCATCAAGCACCAGCTGGACAGCAACACCACAGGGTACACCGACAGTCTTAGCCATAGCAGAGTAACCACCGATCTCACCATACTCGCACATGGTGCTAGTGCGTGTCTCCTTGGAGCCATCCTTGTGCTCGATCTCGAACTTGTGCTGCAGCATAACCATGTCACGTTCTTTAGGGCCGTACTGCATCTTCTTCTCGAGAGTGGCACAGAGGGTATCGAGAGGGTTACCGCGGGGGATGATCTGCTCATCAGAGAAGATGCCGATCCAGCGGAGACCTGCGATAAGGCGGTTGCGCTCCTCGTTGTTGGCGAAGGAGGTCTTGGAGGCGATGGCCCACTCGAGGTCCTTCTCGGTAGCCGTCGTAGCGCCCAAAATCTGCTTGGTGGCATCCTTCCAGGCGATGGGGGAGTTGAGGAAGTCGGCGGGCTCATCGCTCAGGAAACCGATGTCGACCAAGACCTTGATCATCTCAGGGAAGCCCTGGTAGCGGAGAGTGCCACGGATGATGGTCTGGGCTTCGGGAATGTTGTAGCGCTCGCTGTAGGGAGTCGAGTCACGGTTGGGGTATGCAACGAAGGCGAAGCAGGGTAGATGTAGTAGGGCTTGGCGGTAGCATGAGGTCGGGACCGGCGACGCTGACTTCCTGGCCGTCCTTGTAGAACTTGGCGGCGTTACGGAGAGCGAGAAGGACACCACGGCTGGACCAGGAGAACTTGTAGCCCAGAGGGTTGTTGGAGCATTCAGGAGCGGGAAGGCCACCACAATAGGAGAGGAAGGAGGTGATCTTGCCACCCTCCTTGTGGACCTGTTGTTCCCACGTTTTAGCAGTAGTTCTATGGAGTCCCCTGATAGTATATTTAAATGAAACGTACCTCGTCAATAGTCTTGACGGCATACAAGTGGTCAATACCCTAATTGCAGGTTAGCCAAGAATGTAAGCTAATGAACAAAAGTCACCCGCCCGAGAGTACGTACAGGATCCAAGCCAATCTCGTTCATGACTGTGATGCCGGCCTTCTTGCACTCCTCGTCCAACTCGAGCATTGCGGGAGAGACGTAAGAAGTAGTGACAACATGCTTCTTAGTACGGATAGCGGACTTGATAACAAGGGCGTGGAAAGTATAAGGGATCAAGGAGATAGCAAGGTCGACCTGCTCGAGAGCCTTGTCGAGAGCGTTGGCATCGTTGACATCCAAGGCAATAGCTGTGGTGTTCTTGAAGCCCTCGGCGAGCTTTTGGGCGCTTTCGATGGTACGGCAGGCTATAATGCAATGTAGAAACCAGACATTAGAGATCATATAACTCTTAAGGCGTCGGTTGGAACTTGATCAGAGAGGATGATAGCCAAGGTCCTCCATCCGCCGATGCGACAGTTGAGTGATGACGAAGATAGAGAAAGGAGGGAGGTCCAAGTGAATAGAAGCGTCAATGGTACATACCGACAGTGACGTGAACATTGGCCTTGCTCAAAACCTCAACGGTGGGCTTGGTAACTAAGATTCAGTTAGTGGTTGAGCTCAATGCGGGGCTCCTCATAGTTCGGAATGATAGATATATGAATGGAGGCCAATGCGATGGGAGACTGACCGAAACCCGAGCCCAGAAGGAGAACCTTGGAACCAGCGACCTGACCAGGCATTGTGACAATTCGAGAGAGGGATATGTATGAGTAGTATGTGTCAAATGACGGAGAAGGAAAAGAAAGAGAGTCAGTTATCTTGTTGGTCTTCCCCGCCGGCAGTTGTGGGATGACTCAGTCACGTGGGTCCACTTGGGGTCGGCGGTATCGGAGGTGTGGATTATCATATTAACTAAGAGGATGTGCTTATCGCATTAGAGTGATGTGGATTGGCTCTATATTATTATGTATGTATGCGCTTCCCCAGAAGAAAATGCAGCGGGGGGTAATGAATGACAAACACTTGAGACATGGATATCCGTCTAACAATCAGTACCAAAGGAGCGAACTCCAAACTCCGTATGTTCCAATGCTTGCTGGGCCTGGGCTCCCCAGGCCAGGGGGAATAATAGTTCTGCTTCACGAGCCCTTGACCTTTGCACTTGGGCTCAAGACTTGGTCGCTCAAACCGTTTTCAGATGATCCGGCAGCGTCGCCATCGAAATCGCCTTCCGCATCCGGATTCTTTCTCGACTTCGAAACCCTTCTTTGCCACCCTAGCAGAACTGGCAGGAAGTGCCATAGATCGAATTCAGGCCAGAGGACGTCCAGAAAGACAATATCCGTGTCCTCATCACATTGCCAGAGCATAAAGTCGCTAAGACGCTCCACTCCAGACGTGCGGACCAGCAAGTCCAGGGGAGGGTTGTCCTTCGTGTGTAGATGGTCTGATAAGGTTTGCCGCGTGATAGTCTCTGGTGACAAGAACGCTGGGGTTTCCGACTCGTCACTAGTGCCCTGGGTTGCTTTCTTCACGCTCATACTATCCTGGTGGCCAGCGAGATCAAGGGTCGTAGATGACGAGAAGGCAGAACCGGTCTCGTAGACCTTATTTGGACGATCGTGTTTCGCAGCTCCTTCCTCTCCCTGGGATGAGGATTCGGAAGTAGATTCAATATCGCTACTTGTATCCTCGGCCTTTGTATTTTGGTTCCGTGCTTGGATATTAAGCGCAATATGACTCTCGGAAAACGGCGTTCGTAGGGATGAGGAGCGCGGTCTTAATGGTTGGCTGTAATCTGCCACGGTGTCACGGATAGCACTGGTGATTTCGTCGCGCGATGTATATGGGAAACAGATGTTGAGGACCCGGTCGCCGTTGGCACTTGTCATCTCCATCGCCCGATTCACCGCTTTGAGGACGTCAGGCCTGAGCAAATCCAGCCGACCCAACACCCGGACCTTTGCGCCATATCGATCAAGTATCTCTCCATGCTGGGCCATCTGCGACAACTTCACCCTAGCCATTTCCATCAGAGCATCCACCTCGAACTTGGAGCGTTTGAAGTTCTCGATACTAAATGCGTAGATTGTGACAACTTTGACTCCACTTCTGTAGCAGACCTCAAGAATCTATTTGTAGACGCCATTAGCATCTCTCTCATCATGCATCTGGAATAGAGCGGCGGGCAGTATGTTCGGAGAACGCAAGGGACCGTTTGATATAGAAAACTAGCTAGACGATTGCCGAATAGAGAAGAGCGGTGGAAAGGAGTAGGAGAATAGGATGATAAAAAGAAGACCAGCGCTTACCCTTGCCAGCGCCTCAAATCCCAGATTGTGTCCCTCGACTGTTTCAATCCCATGAGTCCTTGCAAACCTTCGGTTTCCATCCATCACGAAAGCGATATGTTGTGGAACTGGCCCCTGCTTGATTGCTCCAATCAGCAGCTCTCGGAGTTTCGATATAGCCATCTCGATGGGTGGAGATGCAAGGAACCATTTCCGAAGTTTTGACAGGTGCATTGACGTCGCCATTTTGATCGATGCAAATATGACGAACTAGCGAAGACCTCAGGAGCTCAAGGGGCAAATAAAAAAACCGTGGTGAGAGGCGTTGCAAAGGACGAAGTCGATAGTTGTCAGGGACCAAAAGTGAACGGTCTAAAGGGTAAGGTTGAGCGACGACAGGTCTCTTGGATCCTAGAATCCACCGGTTAACTAGAGACGGCGCGAGATCCTCTGTTGTAGGGCTGTGTTCATCAGGCTACACTATTTTCTTTCACCACGTGCAAAAGTTGTTCTAATTTTGGTTGGCAAAGGCGAACAAGTGTGTGATAGAGACAACCGAGCGGTAAGCCCCCCGAGCCAATGAATCCAGAAGATCAATTGAAGGCAGCGAGAGTGTGCTCGAGCAAACAGGAAAAGGATACTTCATGGACTGTGATTTGGGAGACGTAACCTTCCTTCAACCACGCTGGTGGGTCGGAAATCCATCTCATCGGTCCGCCGTCGCCTTTGGCCCACGTGTAAATTACACCCGAATTACGGTACGGAACCCGTCCATGTTGACCGAGGATCGAGGAGGGTCATAACTGGTATAGTAGAGGTATAGTCAAGAACAACCCAAATCAATTCTTTATATTTGCTCAAGTGTCCACACTATCTACATTTCAAATGTTGGGTATTCAGCGATTAAATCTTCCCTTGTCAACGGAGCGCCCAAAAGTCAGATACGAGAACAAAACGCCCAAACACCGCCACCGCCGTACGGTAAACTGAACAGATAAAGACTTGTCAGAAGCAGACGTATCTGCTACGTTAGATATCCTTCCGGCTCTCTTCGCTGTAAGGTGTCCCTGGACCAGAGCTAGCCATGTCCCAGCTATTGCTGTCTTCGCTGTGCCGGCGCCGGCGCTCTTCACCGCGCTGCCGCATGGCGTCTCGGATCTTTGAACTAACTTGCTCAAAGCCATCACTTGAGGTAAGCTGACTGAGTGGCTTCAGTTGTTGCCCAGAAGAACCAGGCCGACCCCCAAATGAGCTACTGCGGCTGCGACTACGGCTTGAGGGCCGGGTGGAGAAGAAGCCGATGTTTGCAAGGTTATGAAATGACTCATTCCGGGGAAGAGGCTCTTGTGAGATGGAGCCTCGCTCAAAGTCTGTAGTGGTAGTTCGCCTAATCTCTGGAACCGGGACAGGCTCACCATCGGCCTTTTCAGCCGGCTTATTGATCTCGCGGAAAGGATCGGTGACGATCCTCGCAGCATCAAAGTCAGGGAACAGCTCCGGTCCCAGTGTGTTGATGGCATCGGTAACTTGTTGGGCAAGGGCTGCACGCTTCTGGCGAAGTTTCACTAGAGAGTTGGCCGAGGATGGATTCAAGGACAACACGAGTGGTCTCAGGGATTTCAGTATATCCATGCCAACCTCTCCGATGCGAAGGGCCGCAAAAGTGATAGTAGGGAACAGGACCATGCCAATGGGCACAATCAACCACAGCGGCATCCACTCTGGGACAGTGTTTTGGATCCGATTATGGTAGGCCCATATGGTGAAAACCACCGTATAGAACGCGTAGAGAGCTGGGGCAAACGCAAGGGCAACGAGGAGTTTCCAGGTTGCCATAACATCTCGCCCCTGTAGCTTGACTGTAGAGGCAGCTAATGCCTCTTGAGATTTCTGTTTGGAGATGACCTTGGTTGTAATAAAAACAGGGGTGAAGAGGAGCAAGCCAGGCAGTGTTCCAATCGTTAGAAGAGATAATTTGATTAGGCGAGAGATCAAAGTGAAAATGACTTTGATGAAAGAAAACCTCGCATATCCAACCTGATGGTCGCGTATTCCCAAAAGACGTAACTCTCGGTTATACTCTGCAATAGACTTTCGCAGATGCACGATTCGCGGGTCGTCTTTAAAATGCGTATATCCTTTCACAAGGCGGCGGTTGAGTTCAACAACCATGGGGAGCGGGAGCTTCTTCCCTTTGGTATTGTACAAGCGACGGGCAGCTTGAATAACCTAAGGATTCATTAGCGGCAGATATCATAACTTGAGCGAATAATCACCCACCATTAACGTCTCGTAGTCAGGACTCGTCACAGTAACCGCAACCAGGCCCTGATATATGGTGTCCAAGACAGCACCAACAGCTTCTCTTTTTTCTCCTCTTTTAAATTGCTCGACTATCTCCCGTGGGATTTCGATGGGATTTCCGAACTCAATAACTGCACGCGAGCGGAACTTATGGGCGTGGAAATAGTTCATTCCACAGGGCACAATCTTCAAGCCACAATCTGGATTATCCGCCAACGTACCAAGAGCCATCAAAGCAACACCAGCTAAGCAAGGTTAGACAAAGGACAAGGTTCGCAGGGTTAAATCAATAGAAATACCTTTTAACGGAAGCAAGTTTGTACGATCATGACTACCACCCTCGGGGAAAATACCAACACATCCTCCAGCATTGAGTCTAGCAAATACTGCTTCATACACAGCTGTTTGGTCCACATGAGGGGACACCTTGAATTTGGAGCCCTTGAATTTGGGGTCCGTATCTGACGCATCCCCAATGAGTTGCCCATCATCCGTAATGTCTTTCCTCCCGGTGAGCTGATAGAGGGGGTCCTTAGCTTTGAACGGCTTCTTTAGGATTAACTCTGCCGGCCCGCGGATTTCAGCGATAGTCGCACTATGTGAAGTACCATTGATGGTAGGGAGAGCTATTGTCCCGTCCTTCTCAAAACCTACCCCTTCAAAATCGGTATCTACTCCGCGAATCAAAGTGGGTTGGTTGATAGGATCGGGCATATAAATTGTGCCCTGGCCCGGTTTCATATTGTCCATTGCTCTGGCAACAGGTACAGTACCTATAGACCTGGCCAACAAGCCGATGAATTTGCGACGGAACGATTTTTCTGCGATGAGCCATGAAATTCGGCGGCGAGCTTCACTGCGCATTACACGCATCAGGATCAACGAATCCACAAACTAATGGTGCCAGATAATTAGCCAGCTTGCACACCGCAGACTAAAGCGGCATCGACCAGACAGTCCTACCTGATTCGCATGAGGAGCTGCAACTAAGATCATTGGGCCTTTTCTAGGTATTTTCCAGGAGCCGCGCGGATGTACCTCCCGAAAGAAGAGGTCTACGAGAACGGAAAAAAGCCATAGAACCAGGTCATACAGCCACCCGATCAACGGTGGAATATACGGTTGCTTGGCCATGATGCCGTTCGAGGGTTTGGTGGTGATCCTATCTGCTGAGAGGAAAGGCTAGTACCCCGGTTGGCTAGAAGCAAAGGTCAGGTAGGTAGTTATAGCTCAGTGGTGTTATTCTTTGACAAGATGACGAGCGCGCGTGATTGCGATCGAGCGAGACATGAACTGCTACCAGCCTGTCTGTGATGCAAACACAGTGAAGTTAGCTTTCAAGAGATCATCAGCAATGGAGAGGCCGAATGTCTACCTGGGGTTTTCACACAGTGTAACGAACCCTTCCGGACTGATTGCGCAGATTGTGTCAAGTCTGTTCATGTGTCCAGAAAGCACATGTTGGGGTGGGAAGAAAAGTTGAGAGTTCAACCAGAGCCATGTGACAGAGGCCTTGGCTCCATGGATGACATGGAACTGGAGTACTACGGAGAGTACTAGTAAATGCTGGGTGGGGGTGGAAAAAAATGAGGTAAACCCATTGTAATTTAAACGGTCCGACCGCAACTCCAGTTAAATGTCAGAACAGTAAAGCTACAGGAAAGTTTATGTCATTTCCGCGTCGCAGGTTCTAGAACCACGTACCATTTGACGGGTTGACTTGTACATGTACCAGGTCACACCACAGCAATATATCCCGAATGTCACCTATAGGAGATCAGGGAATTACTAGTAGCGCATAAAGACGCTGCACCGGTTGTAGAAGGTGAGGATCTGTTATGAGTATTAGCGGAATCTATACATAACCACGGAACATGAGTCGACCTACCGGAATTTGTGGGGTAAGGGTCGAGGAACCTCAATCTGGTTTATTCTCAAAAAAAAGCACTTCATTACTCGGTCGCAGGAGTATTCGGAGTATCTAAGTAGTAGAAGTGGTAAAGTACATACTAGTATTATGCCCCGAATCTTTTCTTTTCCTTTATTTGTCCTTTGTTCGGGACTTCGGGTTGAAACAATACTTCCATAATAGCCTACCGTAGCTACCTTAGCTTCTTCGGTACCTCGAGTCAGGAGTCCATCTGTACAGTCATCAAGCCTAGAACCTTCTGATCTCCAGTTCCGTCCAATTGTAAATAATTACATACGTACTCAAAAGGTAGAATACATCTCCGTTGATAACCTCAGGTCCAAACTTCGGTAACATAATATCCATGGAAGGTAGGCTAGAAAGAGTAGATAGGTAGTCATGACCGGATCGTAGACTGTTCTAATCAGATTGACGATGAGAATGGGCATTAGGTATTATGGGGTATATCACAAGGTATTCAAGTGAGATCTAATCTGTGTCTTAGAATTGCATGACAGATTTCCATAGTAACTATTGTAAATAGTTCTGGGATACTAAGTATGATCATTGATGCTATGGTCTTAGGTTCCGAGAGCCTCTTCCATCTCCTGTTTTTTTTTCCCCTGGGTTTCTCCACCTGACATCAGCCCCGCGGAGAAAAAAGTGACCCCAACTCTTTTTCTCGTCCTTATCACCGTCACTAGTATCACTACCCCCGAGTCTAGAGTAGATTATACTGAACGGACTAGCTTTGAATTTTGTTTTTGTTTTTTTTTTTCATTTTTTGCTATCACCCCAAACAGACGACGACGTCTGGCGATCCACTTTCCATTCCTACATACATCCACCGCTCCAGGTTGCAGCGTGGCGATTGCCTACGTGACGCGGGTCTAATCCATTATCCACCTCCCAGTACCTGAGTTGATATACCCTTACGAATTGCTAGGGTCTAATACGGCTTGACTACCTATACCCACTAGTGTCATCTTCCTGGTCTATTTTTCTTTTCTTTTCTTTTCTTTTCTTTTTTTTATCAATCAGTGTTGAACAGGCCGCATCGACCAACATTTCTCCCTTTGCCGATTCAAAGTTTCAACGATATCAATTGACAAGATATTTTGTCTTCACTACCCTAGCCTATAACTGCAGGGCACTAGCTCTCAACCGATATCAATCAGAATCGGTGGCGATCAGTCTCCTACACTTTGCACGATATTCTGTGGTTAAGGCTACTGGTCACATACTGGAATTGCTAACGGAACGGATTGGGTAAAGATGTCGATCAAGTATGTGAATGACCCCTCACAACTCCAACTTTCATAAGTCTTCGTCATTGTTGGTATATACTTCGCACTCCCAGATATTCTTGACCTCCGAGCATGTATATGGCATGACCCTATACAAATTCATTTTTCTTGATCTCTTCCCACTTGGCTTCAGCCCCCACTTTTTTAGTCTTTACGGGCAATTGTCCCTATATCGTTTCTGCCCAATTTGGAGAGGTGAAGGAATAAGATAAGATATGGGATTGATTCTAACCTACTCTGTCGAGCAGCTGGGTGATGCTACATGAGCATGAAGGCTTTGTCCGTCTTCCTCATGAGGATTTGATATATACGTCCCCACCGCGCACTTGCCTTTCTCTGAAACCACTCGACTCATATAAAGGCAAGGATGCAATATCATTGCAAAGTGATTCAGGCCGAATTTATCTTACGAATCATCGGGTACTTTCCCCTCATATCGGTTTCGCTTTGGACATGGTTTTTGGGTGACCTCTTGCATATCTTGACCTGAGCTTACAGAGTAAATTCATTTTAGGTCGTATATATACCTGCTAAGAAGTCCAATGACTTCCAATCATTCTCTGCACCTCTTCTTCACATGCATGATACTCATGTATCAGCCCCCCTTTTTGGTGCAAATGTGTGGCAGTCTCTTGTCCAGCCGGTACCAGGTGGAGGGATACCCTCGTCATTGCCCGCATTACTGTTGAAGGTGACTTTCAAGGAGGGAGGCGCGTTCGATTATCATAACAAATTCGAAGAGATCAAAGAACGCCTACGAGTGGCTCTTGAGAATACTCGGCAAAGTAGCCGAGGTGTTGGGAATGTCGATATGTCTACTGTTCATCTGGACCAATTGCCCGCTTACTCCGGCCCAGTACATGATTCGACTGGCGCTAACCATGACAATCAGCATTCTCCATTAAACTCTCAGGACAGACGTGCTACTTCAGAATCGTCTCCAATGGGACCGCCGCCAGGCTACGAAGAAGTTCAGCAGCAGAGTGTCGCTGATGAGCTCGAAGAAAGGTTACGTCGTGCTAGCTGAGAAATATATTAATCCCTGGGCCTAAATAGACGCATTTTTGCTTCGATATATCTCATCCTTCTTTTCTCTTTCAATGAATCATAATGACTATCGACAACCCGTTCTTGTACAGTACACCTGATTGCTAAAGGCCCAATCTGGTACCTAGTGTGTTCAAACACCATTGACTTTTCTGTTTTTTCTTTTCTTTTCTTTTTCCTGACCAGGATCGGAGAGCCTATTCTAAAGACATATATTAGCGAATATACAATTTTAGTCATTTGTAGCAACTAGAAAGGTTCAGTATCAGATTGTTATTTCTTAAAAAATAGGATTACTACATTGGTCAATCCCCTACCGAAGCGTCGGCCAATCACGTGTGCGATAATTGAACATTCGCCGGCGGCCGGACTGTTCCGATTTTCCTGGACGGCAGAGCCAAAGCTTCGTAAAACCATCAACCTCATCAACCTCGCTCGTCGCTGCCGCTTGCACCCCCCACATTTTGGAAACCCGGCCCTCCAATCCCCTCAATTGATACTTCCACGCAGATCAAAATGGGTATCTCCGACTTTTTCTCCGACATCATCTCCTCCTTCAGCCTCCCCGAGGCCCAGGCTGAGGCTCCCGCTGAGAACGTTGAGCAGTCCAGCAGTCAGGAGACCGAGACCGAGGAGAAGCCTGCTGTGACCGAAGAGTCGAGCGAAGAGACCGCCGAGAAGACTGAGGAGTCCGCCGAGGAGACTCCTGAGGAGCCTGCCGAGGAGGAGCCCGAGCAGGAGGAGGAGGAAGAAGAGGAAGAGGAAGAGGAAGAAGAAGAGGAGCCTGAGGACATCAAGCCCCAGCTCGAGGAGGGTGAGTCGCTTGTTTGGATTAGATCTCGCGTCTTCATCTTCGCATTGTTAGATTGTCATGTTGCGCGGCGATGTCACGATTCGGCCAACACACGCCTGATCTCCATTTGTCCGCACTGCACATGCCATTGACACAAACCCATCTTTTGTCATCCTAATCTCACGTCTCATATGTGCGGTGACTAACTTTGACGGTATTAGAATGTGCCAACTCCGCTCAGTGCGCCCCATACAAGCACCACTTCGATGAGTGCGTCGAGCGTGTCACTCAGCAGCAGGAGGACGCCGACTACAAGGGCCCCAAGGAGGACTGCGTTGAGGAGTGTAAGTGCCTTCTTCTCTATTCTCTATTACTTTGGGACTTTTACTCTGGCGGATGTGCCAACCATACATGTCCACGCATCGAATGCCTCAAAAGTAATCATTATAACGAAACTGACATCCCCCGCTCCAGTCTTCCACCTTGCCCACTGCGCTTCCGAGTGCGCCGCTCCCAAGCTCTGGAAGTCCCTCAAATAAGCGTCTCGCCCCGGGACAATTCCCGCCACGTTTCTCTTATGGTTCAATGACAACGAGTTTAACGATGGCGCATCATGTATGGACCATCCGGATGAGATACGAAGGGGGAGCTGTGGAGGGAACTCACAGAATACAAAACGTCATGGCGGCTGGCTGTTTCCGCTTGTCGGCCTCAAGTGTCTCGCATAGAATGGGAATAGACTCCTCTCCAATGTGGGATTTGTGTTAAGCGGAGAATGGGGGAATGACATCCTTCGCTGTGTATGTACAGATAGCTGGGTAATTGCATGTTTGTGAACTGTGCTTCTTAATTTTCCTTGTGTTTAGAACGAATGGCATTTGTCTCTTAGACTGCTACTGCTGCTACCTTCGGTTTCCACTGGGCTTTGTCAGAAACGGGCTCGCACAAGGTTTATATCACGCGTACTCTTTCTCGTTGAGGCCCTCAAACCCTAGGCCATATACATGACAATTATATACACATCTCCTAAGTCCAAACGACAACAACCGCTATAACAAAAAATGCCTGGTTTAACCCAGGAAGCTCCTTCCTGCTAACTATTGTTTTTTGGACCAAAACTTAAAACTAAACTTCGACTCGGTCTCAGGTGCAGGGGTATCATTCCCCGCAAGACCGGTATCAGTATACTCACGACCCTCCAGATCAACCCCTCTATCCACATCCAATCTTCGACGTCTGACATTTCTCCCAAACAGTCCAATCGAGACCGGAAACGGCACCGCAACACAAGCAATAACCGCCGAGAAGATCAGCGCATTTCTCATGTTCTCCGGCGGGTCAGCGTCACGGCCTGCCTTGAGTGCATCCTGGGCTAGAATGAAGACGGCCCCGAGGAGCTGACCGCCCGTCCAGCAGATTGTGCTCCCGATCTCGGGGGAGAACGGATACGTGATCTCAACGAGATACTCCAGGACGACGGGGAGGAGGGCGAAGGAGGAGGCACCAAGAAGGGCGCAGACGACGTAGGCCGGGGCGATGCCCGCCGGGCTGGATGGGGCGAAGATCAGACCGATGTAGCAGGCTCCTACAATGGGGACTAGGATGCGGATGGTGACCAGGTAGTGTTTCCAGCGGTCTGTGATTGGGGAGACGATGGCGGAGCTGATTAGACCGACGATGATGAGGACGCCGCCTGCGATCCCGGCTTCGGTTTCAGTGAATGCATAGGGGGCGAGGATCTGGTTGAGGAGGGAGGAGACGCTGTTGAAGAAGCCGACATAGACTGAGAAGGGGATGAGGATGAGCCAGAACTCTAGCGTCTTGAAAAGTTGGGCTATTGCTGGGAGGAGAGGCGTGCGGGTTGTTGCTGAGGATGCACTGGGTGGTGTCGGGGGTTTTGCTGGGAGAATAAAGGAGGGAATGGCGGCGATTGTTGCCTGTAATTTTTACATTGGGCCTTGTTAGAAGAAAGGAGGACATTCAATGATAGGTTTGGTGTTTTCGTCTTTCTTCTTCTCCATTGGGAGTACACTTACAATGACGGAGATCCACAGAACCATATCGGGAACCTCGCTGGGCTTCGTCGCCCAGAAGGAATCGATTAGCTGGCCCAGAGCTGCTCCCAATGGATTGGCTAATGTGGCTACGGCCGTGGCACTGGTGCGCCCTTGGTCCGAGAACCATAGGTCGCTGTACCGTGTGGGAGCGCTGAGACAGAACGGCTGAGCCAAACCGATAAGGATCTGGCCGAACATGGCAACACCAAACATGCCTCCACGGGCTTTGGTGCCTGCATATCGAATCCAATTTCCTACCAACAGGAGGGTGGAAGTGATGATAATGGCTGGTTTGGGGCCACCTTTATTGAGCGTGAAAATGACGACACTGGCATGCATGGTACATATCGTCAGTTGCATGTCACGGTGGAATACGAATGTAGGAAGACGCACGGGCTAGCAGCACAGAAGGCAAACAGATATCCTGTACTCATCCAATTGATTGCGCTTTCGGAGACGCCAAAATGCTGAGAGGCAGTGGTGGATATGGCGGAGAAGGTTAACCACTGTGATATGAGATTTTAGTCCATGGCGCTGCTTCTTCTTATGCAAAGGCTACGGTGTAATCGCACTGGTGATCACGAGATTGGGGATCACATACATCCCAGCTGACCACAATGTTCAATAACACCAACTGGGCCAGTCCCAAGAAGCGACGCTTGTAGACCTTATAGCCAGGCCCCGAGGGTGGGAAATCCGATGGAGTTGAGGTATGGTGTGCATCTTGTGATTTGGAGGCCATGATGGGAAAGGCTAGTCGGTTCTATTATACATAATTCCTCTATAAGATGGAAGAAAGTGGTCCTTCACAATCAGATATACGTCGGTATTCTTAAAGAACCGGAGGGCGCCGTTGCGAATGACCCGACAGGGGTTACAGCGCACATGGGGCATGATTCAACATTAGTCAAAAGTACCCCAGAGATGGAAGAACCTAGGTTTAGTCTCTGAGCTAGGGCACTGAGAACAATCGTATCAAGCCAGCCTCGCCCATTATTGGGGCTCAATCAGCCCGAGGCTTGAGAAGCGAAGACCGAATGCGGGGTTTGAGCATTCGTTTAAATTAACGAAGCCCGATAATTGGGTGCAGATACTAGCAGAGTACATTGCAGGAGCTGACAAGCGAGAATTCAATGTAACCTTTTGCTTGTCTATCTCTCGTCAGGTGAATCTCCATCACATGATGAGGGAGCATCTGATCTGTGGATGGATTTGGATTGGAGTGGATTTTCCCCGTATGGAAAGGAAAGTTGAACCAGTGAACGAGCTGGAGCATTTCTCCCCAGGTTTGGAGATGGTCCCAGGCACTTAATGTATGGCCGTCCAATCATCATCCCGTATCGCCAGTCGGATTTTAATTGCACTGAGTGTTTCACAATCCATGGCTCATCACAGATCAATTTCCGAAGGACTATTTTAAGCCTTCCCAATCCGAAGATCTTTCTATCGAGCAAAGTCTCAGAAAATATTAACAACCACCTTCCAGACGGTACTGACTGACCTACAGCGAACCCAACATGCCTCCAACGGACATTATACATCACTTTCTGGGAATCAGGGTTGCAGGAGGGCACGGAAGATCAATCTGATTGCTCGGAGACCTGCGCGGTCTCTATCAACTTTCGATTTGATGGTGGTGACAAGAATTGTGCCGGGTTTACCTTTCTCACACCCATTCAGAATATTCTAATGAAAATTGCAAGAAAATAAGAGAAAGAAAAAGACAGGTTTGTATATCATTGCTATCATCCATGCTCTCTCCAGTGCCGGTGGTGGTTGAAATGCGATCATTATCATCACTTCTCTGTAATTTTGTTTTTCTAATATTACAACTCCAATAATTTCTTCATGGTCCATCCATGTCCAATGCTGACATACATTGCATTGGATCTATCGAAATTGCTTTTTGGTTTCCCCCTTCTTCTTTTCTTGCCTTCGCTAGTGGCGCTGAAGATTTAAAAAGTGTCCTATAATGGTTCGTGTCCACTGGCTGGGTGGCTGAGCATCGACACTCTTTACGGAGTAGTTTGCAGATCGTCTCGACTCCATCCTCGCTTTCAACTTTGTGTCTCCCCCAACCGTCTTTCCTTTCCTCCCTTTATTACTCCGCCGGTTCGTCTTGTTTTTATTTCTGTCCTTGCTCCTGTCCCTCCTTTAACTGGAAACTCTGTTTCACTTCGCCTCCCTCTACCGCGTGTCTGAATCTCGGCCACCTCCTGTCACAATAAACACGGAGTGCCCCCTTCAGGATGTATACTGTCTAGGACTCTTTCTTGCGACGACCTTCGATCACTAGTCCATCCCGCATAATTTCCCTCGCCGATTTATCTGCATACTTGTATCCACAATGAGTGGTTTCGACCTACGATCCAGTCAATCGTCCTATGGCGATCCAAGACATTTTTCCGGTGCCTCCTTTGGCGCTCCACAACCTCCCCCAACGAAGGTTCTCATGGACGGATACCATGGCGCTCCCAACCTGAAAAATGTGGAAACTCCGCGCTATAATCCAGTAAGTGGTTCTTAAAGCCCCCATGTCAAGTCCTCCATTTACCGACGCCGTCGCTCGCCCATAGTTGAACACAACGCATCCAAGAAGTTCGGCTTTACTGAACGGCAATGATCCCGTGACGATGTATTTGTTGACCGAAACCGCTATGGGCGACAGCGTGCATTATGAGGTCCTGTCTCTGGAGGAGGTTGAAGGCCTGAAGAAAGAGTCTAAGTTCCTTTCGGGTCGCTTGGAGGCTGCCAAACGGAAATTGGCTTTGGAGACGAAACTTCGCGATGCAGCCATGTCCCTCAGCCGGCTATATAATTCAAAGAGCGCCAGGTCGAGCGAGGAATATGATGTGGGAGGTTCTCCGAAATCCAACCGGAGTCGCAGGAGCATGTTCGGTCGCAATGGCGCTTCAAGTACGCTCGACAAAACGGATGGGGAGTTAGCAGTGAGCACGCGGAAGTGCGAGGAGCTTTCGCAGGAAGTCTGGAACCTGGAGAGCAGAGTTCAGGTGATTCAAAAACGATTACTGGAGCATACTGCTGGCGTCCTACAGATGACACATAAAGGGTTAAAGAAATATCCGAAGAACAATGTGCCCAATACCCCTGAGAGCCTCTCCAGCCATAACCCCCGTGGTAGCATCGACGACTTCGACGATAGGAGCCTATACAAAACGTCAGATCATCTGAATGAGCTCAGCGGGCATGGGCCTCCAGGGCCAGATCCTTTGGCCCATTTGAGTCAACCGGCAGTCGGCCTCGATACAATCCAAAATACCGAGAAAAAACTGGAGATGCTAAGTGGGCAGATGCATGACATGATTCTACAGTCCAATCCCAACAGTGACTTCGCCCCGGTTCCACAACTCTCGGCAGAGGGATCCATGCTCAACCCTACCGCAACTATTGAAGCTTACATGGCATACATTGAAAACGGGCTCGGTGCACTCGCAACTCACTCTAATAGCACCGCCGCTACCAGAAGTATGGACAACGGGAGCGATCAACAGTTAGCGGAGGTCAACTCTCGACTATACCAGATTGTGAACGAGTCGGGCTTGCCGCGCTCGCGGACCCTTCCACCACCACCTGCTGTATCTAATGGAGGTCTTGAGGAACACCTTTCATACCTGAACGAGGGGATCGACGGCCTCCATGAGCGCTTGGGAGGGCTGCTTGAGCAGAAGGGCATCCTTACTACTCAAATTCAACAGCAGCGGGAGCTCAACTCGAAATCAGACGCGGAAAGGGATGCGCATATTGCCGACCTGGTCGAGCAGTTGGCTCGTGTGCGTAAGGAGCTCGACTTGGCGGAGCGAGAAGGGGAACAGTCCAAAGATGTGCTGGAACACACGATGGAGCAACTGGAGGCTGCACGCCGGGAATTGTCAGATCAACAACACCGGGCCATCCCAGAAGACAATTCGGAGGCCATCGCATCTGAAAAAGAAGCTCGCACGCGTGCAGATGCCGAGGTGTCTCGTCTGCAAACCGTCGTGAAAGAGCTTCAACAGGAGAAAGATGCCCTTGCTGAAGCTCATGAGGCACGTCTTCGCGCTGAAACTGAGATTACCCAGTTGCAAGCGGTCGTACACGAACACCAGCGCGAGAAAGATGCACACAACGAAACCCAGGAAGCACATCGTCACGCGGAAAGTGAAATTTCTCGTTTGAAGAATGTTGTGCAAGAGCTCCAGCATGAAAAAGATGCTTATGCCGAAGCCCACGAAGCGCGTCTTCGTGCAGAGGCTGAAGTTGCTCGCTTGCAGCCTGCCATCCAAGCGCACCAGCGCGAGAAAGATGCCCACGCTGAGACTCATGAAGCACGCCTTCTCGCTGAAGCTGAAATCACCCGCTTGCAGGCTATCATGCAAGAACTTCAACAAGAAAATGCGACTCTCGCGGAAGCCCATGAAGCACGCGTCCGTGCCGAGACAGAAGTTGCCCGCTTAGAATCTCAACTCGAACAGATTCGATCCGAGTCCAACGGCCACACAGAGCAACTGTCTGCGGTACGCTCCGAAGCAGATGGTGAGATCGCGCGCTTACAAGCTGTGATCGATCAACTTCGTGGCGAGGTTGATGTAAAGACAGAGGAGGTCGCGGAATCCCGTGAGCGATCAGCAAAACAGATCTCGAGTCTTGAGGAGAGTATCCAGCAAATCCGTACTGAGACTGACGCACGGCTGAAGGAGGCCACGGACTCGCGCACACAGGCTGAGGATGAAATTACTCGGTTGCAAACCTTGATAGAACAAATACGCTCCGACGTGGAGTCTCAGCTCGGCGAGGCAGCCAAGGCTCGGGCAGACGCTGAGGAGAATGCGGCACGCTTGCAAGCGGAATTAACCGAGCTCGAAGGCGAAGTTGTGAGGGTTCGAACTGAACTTACAATGGCCCAGGCTGAGCTCGATGGTGCTTATGGTAGCCGGTCTCAACGGGCAGCCGCTGTCGACCCTGCCCTTCAAAAGGAGCTCGAGGTGTTGACCACCCGTAATATCGAGCTGGCGCAGGAGTTGGCCACTTTCAAGGCCGGTAAGCCTGCAAACAGCGACACACAGCGACGCGTAGAGACATTGGAGAAGGAGCTTCGCGAGACGATTGATGACTATGAAGTCATGACCAAAGCTAGTATCGAATTTGAGAAAGAACGCGAGAAGTTTGAGAGCCTCATTGACGCGCTTCGGGATCGTTGTGAGCAACTGGAGACGCAATTGAATGAAGAGCGGATCACCTGGATGGGCATGCACTCAGCGTCAATGGGACGAGATGGAACCACATATGAGACGACATCAACCATGGTGCTGAAGAACGAATTCAAGAAGATGATGCGTGACACGCGGACTGAGAATATGAAGATACTGAAGGTGAGTACACCGTTATCCTTTCTCTAGCAAGGTTCTCGGGTTGACTTGAGTACAGGCGGAGCAAGAAGAACGCCGAAGGCTGGAGGCTTTGCTCAGGAATCTGAAAAAGGAGCAAGCCAGCAAAGCTGATCCGAATCAGTCCGTCACGGCTTTATGACGATGATGATATCCTAAACTTCTCCTTGTTAATCCTCAAGCCACCCGATTTTGGTTGAGGTCACTTCATCTTGCTGATATTCTCTTCATCGTACATATTAATGTCTATTTATTCTAAGTATATATTGGACCGTTTATGATCCCTCATGTTGTTTATATTCTAAGGGGCTTGTTAAATGTATTTCTACTATTCGAATGGACTTGGTGACTATCTTATAATTAATCGCAATTCTGTGATTTTGTCAGAAGCACACATACTTGCCACTAATGTTTGGAGCGATAATTTCGGCTTACCTCTATCAGTCCACCAAAGGTAGTTCTTTCCCTCTAATTCACTTCAGTGCTGCTCTTTCTCGATTGGATTCCTAGCCAGGCTGGAAGGTACGGTGACATTCCAAATCCCGTTCTCACAAGTCAATCTGTGTCTTTCGTTGACTACACTTCGACTGATCCTATGCCCGTTCTCAGATCTGTGATGCCTCAGAATGGATCTGCGATGTCGCTCTCCTTTAACCACCCCGGACTCTGTCCCGCAGCAGAACAGAGCGACATCCCACCCAGCCTCGACCAGAGAGTCATCTGGGTCGAGTCCAAGCGATGCAAGCTCGATATACAATGCCGCAAGGGCAAGCTCGGGGTTGGAAGACCTTGTGCCTAGGTCGAGTTGTACCCTGAATAGCAGAATGGCAGCAAACATGGCAATGTTTGTCGCTCCCACGTCCGAGTACATGGCAGATAATCCATCAAAGCCAAATACATCGGAATGCCATATACTGTCGCAAAAAATGACGGACAACGAGTAAACGTGCCGACTCCAGAGGAGTCGCGAGAAGTTGACCGGTTCGACCAACGGCGACACCGCAAAACGGCGAGTGTCAACGATGCAGATGCAAAAGTGAAAGCTTCCAGATGGCTGGGAAGTATAGCGTCCCCTGCGAGTCCTGTTCTACCCACGTACCCACCACCAGTAAGGATGCCCACACCTCCGGGACTTCCATCTTTCGGCAGCGAAGAGGCAGTCCGTTGCTCTGCGCGATTACCTGTCCATTCAGCACCGAGCAATGGGCAATCCCAGCAACGTGGCCGTTGTAGTAACGCTGCTGATGGTAATAGAGTCGAATCCTACGGAGAGTCACTTCGAAGATTCTTTGGTATCTCTTCACCCTCTGCCTTTCGATCTACTGGGCGAGAATGCACTGTTGTGAGGGCAGTTGATAACACTGTGGTCCAAGGGCGCTTTCCCCATAGGCATAGTGCCCATGGAGTCGGTGCGAATGGTAGATTACACGACCATCCATTCCATCGGAGGAACCTTTCTATGGCTCAGTGTGGTGGCATTGACGAGGGTGGCGGCGCCGCCGTTCAGACTAGACCATCAGACACAGAGCACTGTTCCCATATCAAGCGGCAGAACTCAATTCACCCAGGAAACCACTTATCAGTTCCTCGTCCACAACATATATCTAGCAGTAACTCACCCGGGCCAAGCTGCTCGGTGACCACTCAATCAGCAACAACCTCGAATCCCGCGGATGGACGCGCCTTAGAGCCAGGGGCTAGGAGGACTCTGGTGATGGACATGTCCGCTATACTAGCTACTGAACCCTCTGGTTGCTCCCTCACACAAACACGATCAACAGCGGAACCTTCTATCCACGAAGGATGCGTCACGCTTGATGGCCAACACGGCCGTTGGTTACAGGCCTCAAACATTGTTAACTATTATTTTTGCTGCTGTGTGGGAGCCAGGAATGAGCAGGATACTATTGTATATGTGAACACTGCTTCTAATGACACATATGCTACTGCAAGGAGCCAGGTCTCGGACGACAGCGCGGCTCCTTCGCATGTAAAGAAAGGTGCGGTGCAGGAGTTTGGGCGTTACTGCTCGAACATGTGGACGTCGTTTCGAGCTTTTATCTCCTCTCGTAATTATGGATCCTCCACATGGTTAGAACAGACCCAGGAATCTCTTTAACCGCTGTCACGATTTGCGGTTTTGGATATCAGGCGTTGTATGAATCACATGGTTCACTCGGGAATCTTTTTTCACTGCCATGAAAGATCTTGCGGATATTGGATTATGCTGGTCTGTATTCATCAGGATCCACTATTGTTACTCTTCTTCAAGTAACCCTTTAGAGAGCTGTGGTTGATAAGGTTCATTCTATGAAAGAAAAGGAGGCTTCTACGCCACCTTTCTACTATATTCTTAACTAAGAGATCCATGGCTTGACGGCTGATCATACGAGTTTCCATATCTGATACTGCAACGACATGAACCAGTCAACTCCGTTACTCCTCAATGCAATAATGCTCGGAAACGATAGACGTTAGAGAATAAACCATAAGTTCAAAGACATTCCATATGACGCCCATGATGAGTTCAGAAAGTTTCCAAAGAGATCGTAGGCCCTAATATTCACATGCAATAATGACCATCGACAACAATATCCAATTGGGCTAAATAGAGACCAAGAAGAATGGGAGACGAAGGAGAAGGGATGCTAATATAGAATGGAGAATGAAAGCCACAAGACCGACGTCATGTCGTTAACGGTATATGCAGAAGTCCGGGGGGGAAAAACGAAGTAAATTATTAAAGCCCCGTAAAGAACTGAGAAGCCTCTTTTATCTCTTCGTCGTCGTCCGCAAAGTCCCATACCACTATCCTTGGGTCCTGGGTGGCACAGACGATTTTCCGCGCATCGAATTGGACCTTGAAGACCCTGGAGGATGGCGGCGGATTGTTGTCGTTATTGTTATTGTTATTGTTATTATTCCCACGGGCTTGTTGGTTCCGCGCTGCGTGGTGATGGTGATGTTGGTGCGCCGCTCCTGGAGCCTGCACAACTGGTAGGTGCTGTTGAAGCTGAGGACGGTTTGTTGCTGGGCCGGCAGCCGGGTTGGTAGGCCGATTTCTCTGAGCCTGCTGGGCAAAGGCGTTCCGTGGACCATGAGGAGGAGGAATTTCATCATCAGTATCCTCTCCGTTGATTTGCTTCAAAGTCTTCACGTGAGACAGTGGTTGGCCGACAACCCAGGCGCCATCTCTGTCCTTCTTCCAGACAAGCACTAATTCGTCATAGGAACCCGAAACAATCCTAGCCCATTTACTTCCGCCTCCTCCCGGTGGGATATGAGCACCCAAAGCCTTAATGTCCTTTGGGTTTCTGGAACCGGCCGTGTTCTGGCGGTGGCCGGCACGTCTGAGAGCCCTTGGACCATAGTCTACAGCTTCGTCGGAGCGCCGAGCATCGAGGAACTCGTTATCAACGGCCAGAGCTTCCAACTTCATAGCCTCTTCGGCTCCTGGTGGGTCACCAAAGCCGGCTTGGACGGTCCTTACTAAGTCGGCGTGACCAGTTAAACAAGCAACCTCCGCGCCCGAGCTGTGATCGAAAATACGAACGGAGTCATCATTGCTTCCGCTGATGATACGCCGGCCATCAAACTGAACGCATGCGATACCTTTGTCGTGGCCCACAAGGGTCTTCTTGCAGACACCGCTCCGGATGTTCCAGATCTTGATTAACCGGTCACCTGAGGCGGAAATAATCTCATCTTCGCTTATCTGGATAGCATTAACTGCAGCCCCATGCCCTGCGATTGTCATCAAGAGAGAGTACGGAGCAAGGTTGCGTATGTGACGCTTGGCCAGCTCGGTTTCTGTAATAGGGGAAGGAAGTTCGTTTATATCAACAATGTGCGCTGGAAATATAGACCCAGCCCCATGATGGACGACAGGATAGTCCTTGTCACCGGGCATGAGCTCACGCCGATTCCAAACCTTTATCAGCCTATCTTTGGAACATGTGACAAGATAACGCTCATCAAATTTGAGGTTTAACACGGAGTCCTGATGAGCCGGTGCAATCTCTTTGAGTTTCTCACCGGTGGAAAACCGCCACAAAATGACGCTCTTGTCGCTGCTCCCAGTCATAATAATGTCTTCAGAAGGTCGGGGATCGAATTGGAGACAGAGCACCGATTTGGAGTGGCCCACAAGAGGACGATAGCGCAGTCTCTGTGTATCAATATTCCAAACTCGGACAGTCCTATCTCGACTACCACTCACCAGCAATTTCCCCAAAATTGGATTGAATAAATACATTCTTGGTGGCACTCCGCCAAGTGCTCAGGGTGGGGAATCTGGAATTTCGTAAGGCGACCTCGATTCCAATTCTCTTCCAACCGTCTACGTTGCTTATAGAGATGAAGCCAGTTAATTCTCGCACCACCGTTAGGCATTCGTAGCAAAATAGATGATTTTGGGGCCGAGTGAGCTGATGAGGACGTGGGTCCATGCGCGGTGCGAGAGAGGTCTGTCTGAGACCCTCGAATGTTGTTCGAGTCTAACTGGTGCCCAGAGGCAGTTGACTCGCTCTGGTCATTTGCGACATCACTCATGAGATGATCACCCTCAGTGTCGGCCTCCGCAGACGTTTGTTGTCCATCTTGCCGCCCGATTATGTAACTGCCCACATATCCTGTTGTTCGCGAGTCTAACCAGCTTGGAGGTACTCGTTTCTTATTCTTCGGTTCTCCGACATCTGTATCGGCGTTCCTTAATCGGGATTTACGAAGAGAAGGGGACGACAGTTTGGATTGCCTTTCCTCGAATGAACGGATCGCCTCGATATCGACGCGCCAGCCTTCATCGATGTATTTTCCTCGCCACAGACCAGAGTCAATTATACGGCCCTGCCAGGCGCGAGATGCCAATGAAGCTGTCAAGAGAGTCTTAGGATCAAGGTAGGAGAAGATCTCGGAGGTGATCTCGGGAGGGAGTTTGACAACGGGATCCATGTGCAACACAGGCGCAAGGCGGTCGACAAGCGCGGCCACGGTAGAAGTGGATAGTGTGCGTAATAAGCTGTAGGCAATCTCTATACATGATGAACTGTAAGCATAGATACCCACAAACAAGAGGCAGAAGGCATCAGCCTCGCCGTCCAGACACGCGAACGGCGCTGGCTGGCGGGAAAGTTCAACGCACCAGCCCTATCTTCTTCGCTATTAGCTAGAAGCCAATCCGGGAGAGGCATCCCATCATCCGAGGGCGGCTCCGCAAGTTCCTTGTCCACCTGGCTTCTGGTCTCGTCTGAGTAACCCTCGTCCAGTCTGTAAGGTGCAGATATTGAGGGGGCGGCGAGGTCGGGGGAATAATTGGCGGCGGTGGTCTCTCCAGCCATGAGTTCTTTCGTCACTGTAACAAGAGGGTCGATATGCAGTAGTTAGATCCACCTTTTTTTCTTTCTTTTTTTTGCTGAACTAACACGGGAGGGATGGCCCAAGCCTCAGCTCAGTCGGCGCGCAGCTTAGCTGGTGTTGTTTGTCTTCTTACTTGGCAGCAAAACAGGCGAATATCGGATTGCCTGTGTCCCTGGAAGTAGGCCACTTCACGCTTTCAAGAACAAGCATGAACGAGATTTATATCGTAGCTCAGCATTGAAGGGCCTTAAAGAGGGTGATCGAACGCCATATTGAGGAGGGACTGTCGTCAGAGAGCGTTGGCGGTGGATTGATAGGTGACTTGACTATCGATACCCAACCGGGTTTAGTCAGACTTACACAGGTTATTGTTTGTTTCTTCCAAGTACGGTACGGGTCACGTCAGATTTTTAGTTTTCCTTCAGGACAGCCGGGGTAGTCTTTACCAAGACCCGGAAGGAAGCAAACATTACATACATACTTCAGCAAGATAATCTTCTACATTCGGTACCGCTGGACTGGATCTAGATCATCCAGGTAACCTCTCTGGCCAATATTATCCTGATTATAGATACACGTACTCCTTCAGGCTTTTCCTCCGGTGACATGCAGCGGTATCCCTTCAACACTGCAGCTACTTACGCCGAGGAACCTGAACCTGAACATATATATCATCGCTGAGCCTCTCAGAAACCGGACCAAGGGTTCAAGCATCCGGTAATACAACCTGCATGCTTTCTTGTAGCGGTGAGAACTTGCTGGAATTGAGGATGTAACCTTCATCGTTATCTTTGATGATACACTAATATATCCTAAACCCTCTCACAGGTCCAATTTTGCCGGCCATTGCTTGTTGGTCTTTAGCTGAGAGTTTGACTCGATTCCTTTGGTACCATTATCAACTGTCAAGAATGGTTCAAGAGTAATCTCCAAAAGGACCTAGATTTGGCACCTTCTTTCTCTCCACCGTTTCACATACCCTTGTGGATTGGTTGTTGGTTTTGTAGGAGCTATGGCGCAATCTCAATTTGATCCATAGCCGACGTAGAATTCCGATACGGAGCAGATCATCATTACTTGAAACAGCTAAGTTCCTTGAGACTGCCCCGTAGTGTGTATACCCTTTCCGGAGTTGCTGACGAGAGCATAGGGGTAATACTATTGTGTAGTATAGATGAAAGCAAGAAAGAATAGCAAGCAACGGTTACAATGTGCTTGTCCCAGGTTCCACCCGAGTTATCTGGAGAAACTCAAGGAATAGATAGATTGAACAGTTGTTCAACTTTGTCTGAGGAGCATCTGTCACGACCAACCTCATATCCTACTTTCTACTAATACTCACATCTGGCAGGTGACGGACGATGTCATTTCGGTTGCTCTTGCTTGCTGTATGTATATAGCCTGAGTAGATACGCTATTATGGTCTCAAAAGGGTAAACAACACCCGCAAACTGCTCTTTTAGCAGAGACCAGCCACTGTCAGAAGTGAAGAAGATCAATTTAGCTCCTAAGACAATATTCCGCGTCTTACTTCTGACAATACTCTAGCCCTAGGACTCAATTGGGTTCCATCGGTTTTACTGTTGTTTGTTGGCATTTTTGGTTTGGCGCTGAGTTTCCCTGTGGTTTGTACAGATTAGTCAATTGTACAAGGTACAGATGCTACTAACTTGTCACATGAATACTCTAGTTGGATCTGAAGATAATAGGTTAGGGCTGAACAAAAGATACAATCATTCAATTCAATTTAATTCTATTTATATTCCTTCATCTCGCCCCGACGCCCCCTTCCTTGCCCCATTCTGCAGGGGTTGATCAAGGAAGAT